ACTGTTTAATTTCAACTTTAATTTCCTCTGTGACCCATTGGTTGTTCAGAAGGGTATTATTTAATTTCTATGTGTTAATGTAGTTTTATAATTTCCAGTTTCATTTCACTGTGGTCATATAGTTTGTCTGGGATGATTTCAATTCCTCTACATTTACTTAAACATGCTTTGTCAGCTAATATAAGGTTTATTGTGGAGAATGTCCCCTGTGCAGCTGAAAAGAATGTGTATTCTGATGTTTTGGAGTAAAACACTTTGTAGATATCTACCAAGTCCATTTTTTCACAGGCTTGATTTAATTCTAATATTTCTTTGCTGATTTTTTCTCTAGTTGATCTATCTATTTGTGAAAGTAGGATATTAAGATTTCCAACTACAACAGTGTTAGTGCTTATGCGATTTTTCATGTCAGTTAATATTTGTTTTATGTAGTTGGATTAACCTGTGTTATGACTGTTATCTCGTTTTCTTCTTGAAGTTTGCCCTTAATAAGTACATAGTGACATTCTTTGTCTCTTTTGATCAGTTTTAGCTTACCATTTGAATTGTCTGCAAATAGAATAACTACCCTTGCTTTTTTTTCCTGGGTTCTTGTGGCATCGAGAATTGTTTTCAGTTGTTTGCTTCTAGCCTATGAATTTCTTTTTGGGTTAAATGTGTTTCTTGAATGCAGCATGTTGTTAGATCTTGCTTCTTGACTCATTCTTCCAGGCTGTTTCTTTTGATTGGTGAGTTGAGACCATTTATAGATGGTTATATCTGATATATAGTTTTTTTTTCATGTTGTTTTCCTGTTGTTTATTCCATCTCTTTCTCCTCTATCTAATTGCTTGCTCTTCCTCGAAGCTGTTTTTATTGGTACTCTGTGTTTGTGGTCTTCATTATGTCTTTCTAATATATCTTTCAGAGAATTCTGGTTTGGTGGTCATAAATTTCATCAGATGTTATTTATCATGGAAGTTTCTTATTTCTCCATTGATTTTGAAAGATAGTTTTATGGAGTACATAAATATGAGTTGAAGATTGCTTTCTTTTAGGGATTGAAATATCTTACTCTAAGCTCTCTTTGATTTGAGGGTTTGTATTGAGAAGTCTGCTGTGATTCTGATGTGCTTTCTTTTATAGATGATGTACTTCTTTTCTCTGTGCTGAATTTCTGTAATCTTAATAATGCACTTTGGTATAGATTTATATTGTTCATTGATATTTGCATTTCTTTATGCTTCATTTATCTGTATGTCAAATTCTTTATCCATATTTGGGAGATTTTCTGCCATTATTTCTATAAAGAGTTTTTGATAGTTTTTGTGCTGTCTCCAGTCTTAGGTTGTTCTTCTTTGTTTCATCCTGTAGGTGTTGGATTGATATTTTTATGGTCTTTTGTGGTTTTTAGAATATCTTTCTTTTCCTGATCACTAGTCATGTTCCTGTCTTCTAGATCTGATATTCTATCCTCATCTTTCAATGGATTTTCTAGTCTCCTCATTTCTGTTTGGATCTCTTTCACTGATTTTACTTCTTTTTTTATGTTTGACATTCTTGATTTCCATCATTTTTCTGAGCTCCTCTATTTGTTTATCTGTGTCTGCTTTAATGTTTTTTATTTTGATAGTTATTTCTTTTTGCACCTTAGATATTATTTTTCTATGGCCTCTCTCATTTATCCTTTTGTTGCTGTTGTTGTTGTTTATTTGTTTACTTCTGCTATCATTTCAGGGAGTTCCATTTGTTGACTTCCAATTTCCTCTGTCTCTTTGTATTCTGGACTTGTCCTGAGTGGGCGAGGCATTTGGTATTGCGTTGTGCTCCTTCATCTTGTCATTTTCTATTTTCAATTTTATTTTGTTTTCTGTTTTATGCATGTAGATTTCTTATGTTAGATAGCCTTATCACTGGTGTCTAGACTTTCCTAATAAGTGTCAGTTCCTCCAGATGTTTTCTAGATATATGTAGTTCTTGGTCTTTATGTCTATCCCTAGAACTTATCTTCCTAGTATATTAAGATTCAGGAGTTGTTATCTGTTTGACTTAAGGTCCATTCCTTTGGTCCTGAACTATGGTGACAGCTATGACCCCTTACAATTGCAGTATTGTCCTAGAGCAGGGGAAACTGGTAATATGAAGCATGATATCCTGGTTAAAGTAGTTCAATTGGCACTAACAATAAGCTCAAATGCAGCCTTGCTATGACAAACTGTGGTAACTATTAGCCTGATATCCATAGCCATAGGAGAAAGGTCTACAGAAATACAATACAATCCTACTTATACCAGGAACTTGTATGCAATGATATTCCATTTAATAGAATTATTTCTTGTTCAACCACTTAAAATTATAACAATATAGTTTTCAATGTCAGAAAATTCTATTACTGAGGTGATGAAGGTCCAAATGATATTTTCAGAATTAAAATACTCATCATAAAACCACGTTTTCCACTTTAAAACTCATCAGTAAATTCTCACAATATCTGATATCTGAATTGTGATGAATGCAGGAGATTTCAGAGCACTGAAGCTACTTTATGGTTCAACGATGTAAAAAATGTGATGTTATCCTGAAAGAAGAACATTTCGGCATCAGGACTTTGGACTTTCTCCCTTGCAATAATCATACAATGGCTTGGAGTTAATCCTAATCCCAAATGTTTCATAACTCCTTCTGATGTGGCCCAGACCTGCCTGCTTGGCAGTTTTTCTTGCTGTTTCACTTTGTCCACTTTCCAACTCAGATTCTGAGGCCAACAGCCTCATTTTATGAAAGTGTTTTATGCAATAGGGATTAACATTTGTTGTTAGAGAATATTAGAATTTCTTGTTCATTTCAGTTCTGAAATAATAGCTCCTAAAAGAAGCAAATCAAAGAATCACATTTTACCAACTCACAATCCTTACTCTGATAGATTTTTTCCCCCAAATTTGGGCATTCACTTATAAGAAAATTTCCATAAAATCATACCAATCAAATCATGTCATTGTACTCTGAAAAAATTGCTTTTTCTAAAACGAGTAAATTAAGTGAAATTGGCACTGTCTCAGGAAATTTCCAATCTTTTGGCTTAAGTTTGAAATGTGCTCTTTCAGTTTTCTGGTTTAACTTCCATGTATTAATTGGCCTTTTGTACTTTTCACCACATTAAAACTTTTTATTAATGTTATGAATATAATTATTTCCAATTGTTCTTGAGTTAAGCTTTTTTTTTAAATTTTGCAGAGGTAGGAATCAAACCTAAGATCTTGTGCATGTTAGGCAAATACTCTACCACTGAGTTAAATTTTCAACCCAGGATTTCTAGATCATTCTTTTTTACCACTGTTTTCCTTAAATGTTTGAGGTTTTTCATCTAGATGCAGAGAATGTTTGATCTCTCTTTTTTATATTTGCCACGTTCTTTAGTGCATATTGCTGTAGGTGTGGTTCTAAACCTGTTAGATAATTACTCTGAGGGCCAGTACACTATTTCACCAGTGCCCCCCATCCTGTGACCATTACTACATAATACCAGAGCCATTGCCTGAAGCTGACAATGTTTTCTTCTCACTGGTGTCTGTAGCCAATGTAAAGCTACACTCCAGAAGGCAGCAATAAAACTTGAGTGGTTTATTGATGAGTATCTGCTTTGGAAGTATTCCCCAGTGGCCTGTCTATCTGGGCCAGTTATTTTCAAATATTTATTTGCTAAGAGAACATAGATTCTGCAAATATAGTCAGAAAATAAACTAATTAAGAGGACCTGTCAGTGCAGGGCTAAGGCCAAAGCCTGGCTGCTCAAGGCACCTCATCCCCTGCCTGTCCCAGCACAGCACTGGGAGAATAAAGATTAAACTCTCTTTGTTTTCTTTGTCTCTTAGTGTCACTGCATAAATATATGAGAAAACTTTTAATGTAACTAATATTTAGTGTTCTTATTTTGACAATGTAAGTATTGTTGACTTCTGAGTCATACTGTTTATCAATTTTGGTGCAACTTTTAATTTTTCTGAAAGTGAGTAAATGTCTTTTTTTGTTTTGTTTTTTTTGCAGTACCAGGGATCAAACTCATGACCTTGCACTTGCCAGGCAGGCACTTGTGCCACTGAGCTAAATCCCCAGGCTAAGAGTAAATGTCTTGTAAATTCATTTGCTTAGTAGTTTTATGTCATAGTTTTCCAGAACACATTCAAATGTGTGTTACCTGCTTGAATATGTAATTTTCAAGTGCTCAAACATCTAACAAAACATGAGTTTCATTCAAATTTCCTACTCATCAGCTTTAGTGAGCTGTGTGTTCTGTAGGTTTGTGGCATGTCTCAGGCCATGAGCCTATGACTTTCATTTGGGGGTCCCATGGCCCTGGATGCCAGTTTCCTCAGTGCTTAGCTTATTTCTTCTGCTTACTAAAGCACATGCCTGATCAGCCTCCTGAAAAATGAGGCATGGAAGATAAATACTCTTGCTATTGGAAAGTGTCTTATTATAACCTCACACACTGCATATAGATTTCTAGCTTGGAAGTAATTTTGATCCGAAATTTTAAGGTAATATTCTGCTCTATTCCAGATTTGTGTCTTCATAAGGATGCATATTGCTATGTGTCTTTTTATATTCCTTGTATTAAGGATAGGGTTGGTTCTTTTCAGTTCTGGAAACTCTAGTGTCTTTGGTTCTGGGAAATGTCCTTGTAGTATATACCTGAGTAAGATGCACTTAAAGATTAATTTTAAAAGAAAGAATTAGTTGAATGCCATAAAGGAACATTGACTAAGGACAAGTTTAGAAGACTGATTAAATTATCTATGCATGACAATGACAATCATGCATAGGCTGAATCTGCAACTTAAAATACTAACCAATTTCCTGAAGAGGTCCAACTTCAAATGTTTTGAAAATAGTCTACCTGTAAAATTATATGTATACATAAGGGGCAAATCAACCGTCTCTTAGTCTAATTTTTCCATATGGGGAACATCTACTAGAGTAATATTTTGGCTTCTCTTTTTGCTCCTTGCTTGTTTTTTTAGGAAGTAAATTGATTATGTGATTGGGTGAATTTGAAGAGAAGAAACTGAGTACTCTCAGCTCTGCACATCTGGGATCCCTCACTATTTTATTCAATCTCTCCATAACAGGTGAGAGATCCAATTTTTTTCTGCCATGCATTTAGGAGCTTATTTCTGTAAGGAAGTGTATTTTTGTGACTGGTGAATAAGTTGTCTGATTAAAACTTCTTTTTGAGGAAAATCATTGTATCTACACACACTGTGTTTTCTAGTGGCAATATTTCTAAAGGTACTGGTTAATCTCCACCTAAGTGACTTTTATATCTACCTCTGAATTGACTTTAAAATCAAGAAAGGAAATATTATTGTTTCCTAAAATCCTAGCATGTATGTTATCAGGCACAGGATGCATATATGTCTGCGTGTATGTGAATGAGTGTCATGGATATTTATTTACGCAAACCATAGATGGTTTAAGGAATTCAAGAGCAATTTTGGTTTTTGCTGAGTTTCCTTTCTCACTGACTTTAGATCCAATTCCCACATTACATGTGAAACTTCCATATATTGTTCCTGGCAACAACCGAGAACAGTAAACCTCACACTCACCAGGGCATGCTCATAGCCTTGTGGAATGAGTCCTGTCAATGCTACAAGTGACCTTTTTCATTAATAACATAGAAGACATCTAAATGGGTTCTAACTGTAATGAATTCCTACAGGATCCAATTTAGTGAAGACATTCACCTTAATGCACTTCTGTGACAGTCATATATTTCTAAAATAATAGCTGAGTCCCTGCTATTAATCCAAAATATCAGATTTGTTAGAAGAGTTATGACCTCTTTACCTTTTCAGTTTGACAAACTTTTCCCTTTAACAAGTATCTACATAGTCTTAGCCTTTGCAGATATACTATATGAACAGATCACAGAATGGGAAAAAAATGCTGTCACATTTTTTCTTAAACAGAAGGTTTTTTTATCCATCCCTTTAATACCTCTAAAAGCTCTATAGAGATTTTGGAATATCTCTTTGTATAGACTTGTTAGTGGTTTCTCTAGGCTTTGCATTGTAGCATGATTTTACCAGTTTTAATAAAATGTAGATTACCTCCATTTAGGTCCCTTGTCCTCCTGTGCCACACTCCTATCTTAGTTATTTTCAATATGTACACTGAGGACTACAGATAACATTAAAATTTTGCTTCAATTACTTAATACAATTTGCAATACCCAAGAATAAGATATTATATTTACCCATATTTTTACTCTTTTATATGGTTTATTTCTTCATTCTTGATCAGATTTTCTTTTATTTAATTTATGTTTAAAGAACTTATACAATTTAAGTTAGGTCTGGTACAATAAAATCTCCTTTTCCTTCATGTGATTTCTTCTCTATCTTCCCAGCAATAATTTCATTTGATGTAGGATTCTGGATTGACTTTATTTTCTTTTTCTGCATGATGAATTGTGCTATGTCAATTCCTTCAAGTCTCCAAAGTTTCTGATGAGAAATTTATTACCATTTCAATTACCATCCCTCTATACACAGTGATTCATTTCTTTATAGTTACTTTCAATATTTTCTCTTCATCTTGAATCTGTCTAGAATAAGACTCTAATGTGCCCAGACATGAACCTCTTTGGATTTATCTCCCTTGGAGTCCACTTATCTTATTAAATCTATAATTTTTGTCTTAATCAAATTTGTGGTATCTTCAGACATTATTTATTTGACCACCTGTTCATCTTTGCACTAGCCTTCCTCCCCCTCTGGAAATCCTGCATAAATGGGAAGCCTAGATTGTCTTTTCTTTCAAATTCTTTTGGTTGTTCAAGTTAGGAAAGCTTTTTTATTTTTTTAATTAATTTATTTTTGGAGGGGTACCAAGGGTTGAACTCACGACCTTGCATTTGCCAAGCAGGCGCTAACACTGCTCAGTTAAATCCCTGGCCCCAAAGTTCAACTTTTCTAGGCTTCAGTTATCCAATTTGCTTCTGTTTTATTTATTCTGTTTTGATTCTATTTAGTGAAGGTTTGTAATTTTTAAAAAATATATTTTTGAGGTTCCTGAGGCACCTCGGCCTGTGGTGAGTGCCCAGCACAGTCTGCCCAAATCTCAGACTGTTCCGGACCCCCCAGGCTTCTGGGTGCAGTGAAGTGGAGCAGTGGGTTAGAGGCCACTACAGCCGCCTCACCATCCCGGCTACACTTGGAGGTCTGCTGAGCTCCCAACGGGTGGGCGAGCCTACACTATCCCCCAAGCCCAGCCGCGCCTAGCCATCAGCATGCAGAGGAGGAGCTGGGCGGATCCGGAGTGCCTGCAGAAGCCCCTTTCTTTGTCTGGAGGACTGAATATTTCTGCAAGCAGGGAGGGATCGCAGGTTCCTGAGGCACCTCGGCCTGTGGTGAGTGCCCAGAACAGTCTGCCCAAATCTCAGACTGTTCCGGACCCCCCAGGCTTCTGGGTGCAGTGAAGTGGAGCAGTGGGTTAGAGGCCACTACAGCCGCCTCCCCATCCCGGCTACACTTGGAGGTCTGCTGAGCTCCCAACGGGTGGGCGGGCCTACACTATCCCCCGAGCCCAGCCGCGCCTAGCCATCGGCGTGCAGAGGAGGAGCTGGGCGGGTCTGGAGTGCCTGCAGAAGCCCCTTCCTTTGTCTGGAGGACTGTGGATATCTCTGAAAGCAGGGAGGGATCACAGCTCCTGAGGCACTGCGGCCTGTGGTGAGTACCCTAACCCGGCTGCGATTGAAGAGCTGTGGATCTTCCCAGGGGCAGGTGGGCGCACAGTGTCCCTGAGGCCCAGCTTGTCTGGAACTGCGGAGTTCTGAACAAGCCGAGGAGGGCCATTGGTTCTGAAGGCCCAATGGCTTGGGGTAGCGCAGTGCCAGAGTCTCAGTAGCTCCAAACATAGAAGGGGATTTTCAACAGATCCTGAGGAAGCATTCAAATAACACTTGAAACACAGAAATATAGGAAAATGACAAAACAAAAGACCAAATTACAACCTCAAACCTCCAGCCCATCTCAGGAAAACCTAAGAGGAATGTATTTAGAAGAAAATATATCCCATCCACCTCATATATCAGACACAATAGCTACTGAAGTTGACAAGCAACTCCAGGAAGCTTTAAAGAAATTCAAACTCGAAATAATATCCCAGATAAAAGAAGAAATGATAAAAGAAATGAAAGCGATTCTAAATATATCTAAAGAAAACACAGATAAAAAATTGGAGGAACTAAACAAAAAGATAGAATCCCTAGACAAGCAATATAAGAAACAAACAGAATACATAATGCAGATGCACAGAGATATACAGGAAATAAAAAACTCCACTGAAAGTTGTAAAAACCGCCTTAATGAAAGTGAAGATAGAATTTCAGACCTTGAAGATAGGATTGCAGCTAGTGAACAGGAAAGGAAAGATCTTTTGAAAATAACAAGGAACCAGGAAACAACAATTCAACAACTGCAAGACGATGCAAAGAAGAATAACATAAGAATGATAGGGATTAATGAAAGAGAGGGAGACAACATGAAGGATGTCAGGAGGATATTTAGAGGAGTAATAGCTGAAAATTTCCCAAGCATGAGATCAGAAACTGACATCAGGATCAGTGAAGCATATAGAACTCCAAACAGTCATAACCAAAATAAAACTACACCCAGACATATAATAATCACCATCCCAGAAAGCCAACACAAGAATAGATTATTAAAAGCTGTCAGAGAGAAAAGACAGATCACTTATAAAGGAAAACCTATCAGAATCACAGCAGACTTCTCATCACAAACAATAAAGTCAAGAAGAGCATGGAGTGAAGTATTCCAGATCCTAAAGCAAAATGATTTCCAGCCTAGACTGATATATCCTGCAAAACTATCATTTAAAATAGATGGTGAAATACGATACTTCCATGACAAAGAACAGCTGAAGAACTTCATTAACACCAAACCAACCCTGCAAAAAATATTGAAAGACAGTTTAGATACACAAAGGAAAAAACCACTAAGCAAAACAAATAATTAAACAGAACAGAAAGATAAAGATGCAACAGCAGAGAGATAAGATTCCTACAATTAACCAACATTTAACAGTAATAACCATTAATGTAAATGGTCTCAATGCACCAACCAAAAGAAACAGACTAGCAGAATGGATCAAGAAACAAAATCCAACCATATGCTGTTTACAGGAAACCCATCTAACCCAGAAGGATACTCACAGACTGAAAGTCAAAGGATGGAAAACAATTCTTCATGCAGCAGGAATCCAAAAAAAGGCAGGAGTAGCCATTCTGTTTGCAGACAACGTGAACGTTAAATCAACAATGACCATAAAGGATAAAGAAGGTCACTACATACTCGTAAGGGGAAAACTCCAAGAGGAAGAGATAACTATCTTAAATATATACGCACCAAACTCCAGAGCACCCAGTTATATAAAACAATTATTAACAGAAATGAAAACTCAAAATATCAGTAACACAATTGTAACAGGAGACCTTAATACACCACTGACACCAAGGGACAGATCAACCAGACAGAAAATGAGCAAAGAAATAACAGAACTGAATCATACCTGTGAACAATTGGGTTTGATAGACATATACAGAATGTTCCACCCAACAACATCAGAATACACATTCTTCTCAGCAGTACATGGATCATTTTCTAAAATAGACCATATATTAGCTCACAAAACATATTTAAACAAGTGCAAAAGAGCTGAAATCATTCCTTGCATGTTATCGGATCATAGCGCTCTGAAATTAGAAATTAATGATAAAAGATACTGCAAAAATCCCGCAAACACATGGAAACTGAATAATACACTCTTGAGTAATCAGTGGGTCACAGAAGAAATTAAAGAAGAAATCAAACAATACCTAAAAGAAAATGAAAATGCAGATACAACTTACCGGAATCTGTGGGATGCAATGAAAGCCGTCCTGAGAGGAAAATTTATTGCACTGAGTTCCCACATCAGGAAAACAGAACGAATACAAATAAATAACTTGATGCTACACCTCAAACAGCTAGAAAAAGAAGAGCAAGTCAAGCCCAAAGCCAAAAGAAGAGAGGAAAATATAAAAATCAGAGCAGAAATCAATGCA